TCAGCAGTCACCTCAAATTTGAGATCTCACTGAAGCCCCTGCACCAATTAATAGTTAATTAATTATAAGAGGAAGAGCTCCAGTAGTCTACTATGCCTATGACATATAGTATTTGTGCGCGTCTCCCTGGAGAGTAAGTATCAGCGAACATGTGTATTTTGAACAGACATTAAGTCAGGACTCCTTGCTCCAAAGCACAGTGTGGTAAGAAAAAGCTTAATTTCTCTCCTTTTTGCTAGAAGATGCTTCCATCAGTGACAGGGGAAAAAAGTCTTAACCAGAGACTTCAGCATAACAGCAGCAGTAACAAAGCAAGTTCCATTATTAAACTAACTCTTGGTAAGAGCCAGATGATTTCTACAGACAATTTTGCATGCAACTGCTCGATGTAATTTGCAGAGTGCCAAATTGCCACACTAATTATTTCTGGGCTGATGTTCCCTCTGTGACATAATGGCATTTGGAGAATGGGGACTAACCAAAAGTGAAGTGCTGAAGTGGGAGATCACTAATAGGATTTCTGAGAAAGAGAAATATAGCAAATACCAATCTTCCTCTTCATGCGCTCGCTCTCAATTTGCACTGAGACAATTTAATACACAAACTACTCTACCTAGTTCTTGATGCTCAACCATGCTTTTGGTAGAGTTCAAACAAACACCTTCCGCCGGTCGCTGGCCCCAGCGCAGGAAGAGCCGAGCAGGGCTCTGGGACCTGTGCGACGCCAGCGTCAAACAGGTGACCCTGAACAGGCCTCTCCAGCCCTAAAAACCCCAGGGTGAATTTGTGTCTCTCTCCATGGGGCTGACGTGCTGCACGTGCACCTGCTGTGTCGTAGTTTGCTTAATTCTCAGATCTGTAACATCCTGGGGGCAGGGTGGGGAGGGCTGGCAAGAAGTTCACTTAATTTGAGTCTATTAACAGCTTTGTACCTGCTTTGATGCCTGCTCTCTTGTTAGCAGTTTGTTCTGAAGTCAATTTATGAAATTGGACACTTTTGCACAATATTGCATACCGTGAAATGGAATAGAAAGGCATTTCTGGTATACTATGAGCATTTTCTTCACTTTCTGTTTCTGTGTCTTAATTTCCTTTTTTTTTTTTTGTTTTTGCTCAATGCAGTACTTTATCAAGTTTAAGCAGCATAATTTTAGTCTGGCACTACAGACATAGCTGAAGTGCATGTGATTAGTGAAAAGCAACAGGAAAAAAAAAAGGAGTAGGTTGGCTTTAAACACTTTAAGGTCATATTTTTCTTCTGCTGAAAACAGAATTTAAATGTGTTAAAAGACTAATTACTGACAGTAGAATAACCATTTAGTGTTTGATTGAAAAGATCACCAAAGTTGCTTTAGATTTTGAATATCAAAAAGTTGATGGATGGTAGTGAGATTTGGCAAAGGAAATAAAGGGTCCAAAAGCAGCAAGCTGCAGAGGCAGGAATATAAATGCTGTTTGCTAAAATGCAGATAGTTCTCCCTTCTGTGTGTGTTCAGCATCACTGTAGCAGGGACGTGATGCTCAAGGGAGGCACATCCACACTGGAGACCACTGGGACAGACTGGCTGGGTACTATTGAGTTGGCATGAAACCACCACTGGCTCAGGTCTTCTTTACAACAACGCCATGTGGACGGATTTTTTTTACCTTCAGATTATGGAAAAACTTCTCAGGAAAAACTTCTTCACTGTGAGGGTGACGGAGCACTGGAACAGGTTGCCCAGAGAGGTGGTGGAGTCTCCTTCGCTGGAGATATTCAAAACCCGTCTGGATGTGATCCTGGGCAATATGCTCTGGGGGGCCCTGCTTGAGCAGGGAGGTTGGACTAGATGATCGCCAGAGGTCCCTTCCAACCTCAACCATGCTGTGATTCTGTGAAAGCTAGAGCATGGCTTAAGTGCATGGGAAGCCATAATTAGTGATTTAAACTCATAGCAGGAAGTACAACCCTATGGGAAGTCCTGGGTCGCTCGACGGCAGTGCATGTCCTGGCTCCTCCAGTCCAGCCGGGGCTCTTCCTTTCGGCGGTGGTTTCCGCACGCAGCACGCCGAGCAGGGACGCTGGAAACACAGGGCTGCTGCTGTGGAGCCACAGACTTTGCTCTGCTCTGCTTGCTCTGCGCGTGGGCACTTCACTCCTATTTAGTTTTAATCCATACTGGACAAAAGATTTAATGGCTCAGGTGTGACAGACGTACGCTACCAGGTATTTCGTTCTGGCTGTGTTTCTTCGAGGCCACATCATGCTTTTTCTCCCCAAATACCACATTTTGCATTTTTTGCACGTACCTGCACCACCACTCACCCGACAGGACAGGGCTGGTGGGCACGCGTGCAGCCCACCCCAGGAGGGGGCTGTGCCACCAGACCCTGTTCCTTCTGCACCAGAGCTGCTGCGCCACCGGGG